CCGGCTGACAACTTACAGCTAAATTTATATCTTATTGTTTGTTTGTACGCTGCAGAGAAAGTAAAATGTACGTAATGTACCGCTTACTTTTTAGAGAATGGCATTTTTTGTTTGGCTTGCTTGTTTGATTGTTATGGAAAACTAACTGTTGCTCGCGACTTTGCCCGCGAAAAATTAAAAAAAATCATTATGGTATTCACAGATAAATTACCTTTCTAACGGTAGAAAAATTTTAAAGTCGGCCCAGTAGTTTTTGATTTATTTCAATACATACAAAAGTTAAAATATTTCCTCTTAAAATAATAGTTTAGATTAATCGCTATTTTATGACAACTTCAGAAATGAAGGTTATTTTTTTACTTTGGAAATAAATACGCATATTTTTATATACTCATGACGGGGCATTTAAAAAAACGATATTTTATGATAGTTTTAAACAATTTTTTTTTATTGTGATTTTATTAAGAAAATTTACTTCAAATAATGTTTTCCATGATAATCTTCAAGACGCTTATTGCAATAGAATAATTTAGAATATAATTATTTTTACTAGGATATTATGAAAGAATGTTTCAATTTGTATAGAATTAAACATAGAAACATTGTCTTGACTAAAAAAATCGAATTTAAATTATCTGCTTTGCTTTTATACGAAAAAAAGTAATAAAAAGCATTATCCATTATAATCATAAATTATTGCATCGATTCTAGACCAAAAAATCTAAAAACTAGGACCATTATTGAAGTCAATGTTTTCTCAATTGGAACATTTTCTCTTATAGAGACTAGTCGTTCCCGTGCGACTTCATCCGCATGAAATTATGAACATTTTATTTTATTGTTTAAATTTGTCAAATTATCAATTACAAATGTCAAAATGACGTCACACGATGACAAGCATTGCTTCCTTAATGTTGGCAGCAACTTATGGTCTCTTCCCCACATTAGGGTTTTTATCCAAAATATTTACCTAAGTTTAATGGCGTGAAAATATATAGCCTACAACGTGACGTAAATGTAGGGCTTTTTACTAAAAAAAGAATTATTCAAAAATATGCTGTAACATCTTAGGCAACAAAGAAGTGTGTGTTTTTTGAAGTTTTGTATTGGAATTACAGTTATTTTACTTTCTCTGTTGCGTGAATCATATTAACCCACTGTACACAGTGGGGACATCACGTGACTTTTATTTTGAATAGTAAAAATAAATTAAAAATATGACATTTAATAAAACACGTCAAAAAATAAACAACGCAAAGGTAATGCAGTAATTTTTAAATGACTGCACTTAAAAAATATCTAAGAATGATTTTTCAATGTAACTAAATGCTAATTTTGATATTTTTTAAGTCATGTGATGAATTACGTGCGTTTTATTTCACGTGTACTGAAATTAAACGCGTGTAATTACTTATACGTAAGTAGGCGTCGCCAGTCCATAATCTTGTCTAGTCTAGAATATAGTCTTAAAAGGCATAAAAAAGATCTAGAAAGGTATTGTAATTATAGTTTTCAAATCCTTAGGAAGTATCCCCTCTGGCGACGCTCATACTTGTTTATAGCGTTTACATAAAATATCTGATTTTATTGATTTTTTTTTATTTTACTATACAAATATGCTTTGTCAACTACGTTTTAAATTTATTGAAATTTATCATTGAATAGTTTTTATGATAATTATTAATTGATGGGAGCATATTTGTACCGCACAGTTAGCGCACGTGTAGTCGCCCGCTTAGCGACCTCTGTGGTGACAAGCGCCTTTTTTATTTATTTTATAGTGTGATGTCTAGTTATTGGTCATTCTTTTGCTTATTTCATACGTTTTAGCTTCATTTTACTGTTTCAATAATAACTTTTATTGCATGCGGCTAACTTTTTCATAGAAATATTTAATATTGCATGAAGTAAATTAACAAATGTGTACTAATCACTTATAGTAAGTAGATGCACTTAACTACTTAGTAAAGACTATTCTCGCTTATTATGTTTCATCCCATTTTCTTTGTATTGGTTTTCATTTATTTTTGATCGTTTCGTTTTCTAATTAACTATCTAACTATATGTAAATATGTTTGTATTGTCTTGTGAACACTCTGTGACATTTAAAACTATAGATAAGTAACAAATAAATAAAAGACATATGTTTTCTTTTACAATTATTAAGTGGGTAAACATTCATATATTCGTTGGTAAAAAAATTAATGCCTTTTCCTTCAAGACTTGTTAATTATAATGGTATTGTGCTAATCATTATTTCGCATTACTACGGCAAATGAAAAAAAAGCAAGATAACATGTTTTTCAAATATATCCGGATAGTTGATTGAAAAAGTGTGATATAATGTAGATAATAGAAAAGTGTGATATAATGATTTGTCATTTGTCTGAATGTCACAGAGTGCGTCCCCTTGTCGGGTCGAGATTGTCACTAACGTGCTAACACGCTCGCTTGTCCCCACATTGCAGCGCTAAGCGGACGCGGCGGCGGCTCACGTGCGTACACCCGTCTCCCTCACACACACACCCGACACACGCCTCTCACTCACACACTTTGTTGCGTCCAGACCGACCGCGCCAAACCGATGGAATTCACCGACGACCCCTTCAAAGACTACAGATACGAGGACCCCTTCAATATAGAGGACCCTTTCGCCGACGTCACCGACTCCAGGAAGGTAGACCCCTTCGCTCGTTCCACCTCCGCCGTCGGCTTCGAGATGGACGACTTCTCCCCCCTCCCCGTGCTCAACGGCGGCCCCAAGCCCCGCAGCGGCCGCGCCTCCGCCCCGCCCCTCGCCCCGCCCCTCGCACACGACCCCTTCGCCGCGCGCGCCGAGCTCCAGAACAACAACGACTCGTGGGCGGCCTGGCCCGACGACAACTGGGCCTCCGACGACGCCTGGACCAGGCCCGGCGCCAACAACTCCGCCGCCTCCGCCTCCGCCTTCGCCTCCGCAGACCGCAAGACCGACAACTGGGCCAGCAAGGCCGACAACTGGGCGGCGGACTGGGGCGCCGTCGACGCCAACAAAAACCTCAACGAAACCTGGCCCAACACCAACACCCTACCCTCCAAGAAGGAGAAATCTCCGAAACCGGTGAAGTACGCGAAATCGCTCGTTCACACAATAGGCGGGATAGGGAGGACGAAGCAGAACAAAGAGAAGAAGACTAAACCGAGTGAGGCGAAGAGTGTGGAATTCCTGCCGTCAGAGGAGCAACAGTGGGCGTGGGCAGCCGCGGAGTCCAAGCGGCTGGAGGCGGAGACAGAGGCTCGGAGGCGACAGGAAGATGCCGAACTGCAGCTCGCCTTAGCTATCTCCAGGCAGGAGAAGTGACCCTTGCGGTGGTGACCAACCAACGGTCATATACCTCCGGTATTTTTGAGGGCGGTCAAAGATCCACTCCACTTATTTGTGCATTTCAAATAATCCGTCTACAGCTCCGTGATGATTAATTTGTCTCCATATAGCTTATATGTACATTATTTGACATCGCATCGAGTGTACTGGAGCTGTATCCGTTTGTCTCTTTCGATCACTAATTCAGTCGCTAAGCGGAAAGGAGACAACAGAGTGACGTCACGCGCACGGACTTGGTTCGTATGATGCGTGCTTTAAAAAAAATATTCCATTAAATAAATAAACCTAGTATCCCTCACTGTTTGTTTCCGATGTTTTTTCAGTTTTTTGTATATGTTGCGCGTTTATTACGATTGTAAATATTTGTTATGCCTTTACGAGGTTCAATTTAACGATATTAAACGATAATTAGACACATTTAAGTACATATGTTTATGTAACGTGAATATAAATTATATGTTATGCCAGTGAAGGGATATACGCCTTTGTCGTCTATATCTATGTATTAATGTATGAAAAAATAACAAAAAAATGACTAGTCAATAATAAATCAATTTATGAAAATTAATAAATTGATACATTGAACAAAAATGATATAAATCAAGAAAATTCGTAGGCAATTGAAATAATGATTTGCATATTTGATAGTCTTGTAATATTTTGTAGTATAATATTTTCAACAATCTAAAAGACCTTCAAGATTTATAAAAGAAATAGTTGTTTTAAAGTATATAGAATTGGGTTATAGTTTTATGCATTTCAAATGAACGCATTTTTGTGAGAAGATATGTCAATTTTTTAATTACTAAAAGGTGGCAAACCTTCAAGCGGTCATCTAATATAAAAATAACGGCCTGATTTAAATTAAGAGTTACTCGTTGTTTTTTAGTTTTAATACCGTTTAGTATATAAATCAGTAGTTTTGTATTGGCAACATCTATAAAGCATGTTTTTTTAAGTAGAATATTTTATCGTTTTAAATATTAGTATAGTATTTATTGAATATTGTTTATATCTAAATAGATATGTTTAGAAAACTTTTACAATTACGTTTTTAAATGATACTTTTTATTTCAATTTTGTAATGAATATTGGTCGACATGATTATTTTGAATTTAAATTAATAAAATGTAATTCATTTTTTATTGATTTCCATATATTTGAAATTTATTGCACGACATTATAATATTTAGTTCGTCAATTCAGAAAGCAAGGATGTGTTTTAGTAGATTTTTGTATATATTTAATAGTAAATTATATACTTTCAGTTCCACTCACCGCTAGCTATATTTTAATTATGTTGTACATATTGGTGTAATCCTGTATAGAATTCCATTGAGCGATATTATTGCGTGTGTTAGAAAATTCTGCATTTTATTTGTGTATAGTGTTGTTAAATCGAGTTGTATCGATATCCGCATTCGTTTGTCTTTAAAAATCCTATTAAAAAATATAACATCGGGGCATCTTGTCGGGCGAGTTCGGTGTGTTCTAAGACGCTACACTAATCTTAAAAAAATACAATAATCATCTAAACTCATAAGAGTTGTGAACCATTCAATCGCGACTATCACCTACTTGATGTAATTTCAAGTATATCTTGCTTAAAAATCACTTAGTTAGAATCAATCGGGCAAGACCGGCTTTTACGCACGGAAACGCCTCCGAAACAATAATTAGTACACTAGCTTGCTGGGACATGGCATTGCGTACATTTAACATATGTCCCCGCAAGCGTTTATAATATAGTTGTTAGTAAATACCGCATACCAACGTATTTATGGGTATTATTCTAAAATTGTTAACTCTTTCTTAGGCGCTGTTGTGTGCGTCGCGCGTCGCTTCGACCGCCATCTTGGTTTATTCGGTGTTGCCATTAAAATACGGCTGTGTTCTTTTTAAAATATCCGAAGTATTCTTGAGTAATTATTCAAATGGTCTGGGTTTTATGTAATTCTATTCTATTTTTTAATACTATTCAATCAATCAGAGATAATATTATAGATATATGAGTGTGGAGGCGACGCGCGGCTCGTATCTGTTATCAAGTATGTAATGTATCTTCAAACGTAGCGAAATACTTTAATTCTGTACGTTGACGTGTATATGTGTATTTAAAGCTATAAAATAATATATTTGATAATATACAGTTTAAGATAGCTTGGGGAATCGACCGAAACACTGGTATCTGTCGCGGTTGGTTTGCAATTTTGTTATTAGTAAATGTTGAAGGAAAATTTTAAAGTAAAAAATAGGCGATCAAAAGTATTAAATTTAACGAAGCGAGACACTAGAAAAAATTAAGTATGATTATGTGAAGTGTTGACCAGATCTGCGAAATTTACTTTGCATTTACAATTGTTTGAAATTTCAGTAAAGTGCTGTCTGGAATGCTTGATGTTGAATGATTAGTTAATTTGATAAATCTTGCAAAATACAACGTAATTCATTTAAAAAGCTTTCAACTGCATTTTTAGATGCCATTATAAATCATTTTTCATAATTATTCATGCGCAAGTATGCAACGAAATAATGTTACATACGTCTGGAGGTTAATTAATGTTTAGTTGGTTGAAGGAGAATTGTCTTTGGATGTACAAATTATTGTAATAAATTTAATATTGACGGGCATTTTGCTGGTAATTTCTTGATTTTGTTTGAATCAATTAAAAATGACCATGAATGTGTGTCAAGACTAAAGAATGGTTTTCTGATCATTAATACTTATTGAATATTGCTATCCACTCAGAGATGTCTTATAAACGTGTGTGCAGGGATCTTACTACGATGTGCTTTGTAAGAATTTCAACGTAAAATTGCTTTACTCGCGAGGTGTACCCTAACTCGTTCTACAATAACTGTTAAACAAATTATTTTGTGATTTAGCGTTGTACGTAGTTTCGATGTAATTGTAGGAAGTAGGAGATTTAGCCGAGTGGCGCCATCTATGTACGTGTTAAAAGAGATTTGAATTTTGTACCCCGACCTTTGTACTTTCAAGTTTTTGAAGAATTATATCGTTAATACTCGTAGTTGTGGTCCGGCGTTCAGGACCAAATGATTTTACATTTCCACAATAACTACAAATAGGAAATTTAGCTTTTATATTATTGGAATAGAGATTATCGCATTGATTTCGATCTTTATAGTCTGATATCGATGTAAAAGACATCTGTGCATTCGCTTTTGTACTTTATTAAGCTATTGTCGTATTTTTACATCGATTTTAAAAATAAAACGGGGACCTACCTTGAAATGTTGAAGGTGCGTTATGTAACCCAAATGTATTTCGTGCTGATTTCCAAGGATTTATTTAGGAAGATGGATAAATGTTCGATTGCACCGAGTCGTTATAGATTGCAAATTAAGAAAATTCTACTAGGTACTAAAGCAATGGAGAACTTTAAATTTTATATAGAACGAGAATGTTTGCGGTAAGTTTGCCTTTAGGGCAACACACGTGTCTTGTAGATGTTATCCAGCGCCGGGTTTAGCACTGGCAGCACTTACGGCGCCCCTTTTTAAATCTGGGAGTGGGGTTTACAAGGGTTACATGAAGCTGCGTAATTTGCAGACCTTTAGTGCCACTTTCAGTCTAGTTGGGCGGTTAGCAACCGCGTCCTATCTATTAAAAGTACTGATTTTATGGCGATAAATGATTGTCATATTGTTTTCAAGACATGAGTGTCGTGCAAGACCAAACTGACTGTTGCTACGTATATTGCGAGGATGCGACGTAGTTGTAGCTGCACATAAATAATTTATTGATTGTAATAATTCATTTCGAGGCTGTGTAGTTGCGAATATTTGTACTTTCGCGTTGGTAGTTTGTGTTCTTACTGGTCACACCGAACACTTACGGAATGTAAACGATTTAGTAAGATTTCAGTTTTATTCAATGTAATTTTTAAATTTTGGTTTGTGTGAATCGGTTATTATGGTTGAATTGTTGCTTGAATGCTGCTATTGTTGATTATCTAAAGTTTATTTGTAACTGTATAGACGGCGGGACTGGTCAGGTACCACCGTTCGGACTTCATTACCTGCTGAACTATGATACTATATTATATAAAAATTATTCCTGAAATAATAAAAGGAACGATACTGTACATTTTGTTGGTTTTATTTGAACCCGATGCTAGTTTGCAAATATCGAAAAGTTCGACTCGAAGCTCAAAAAAAAATCTCACAAATCAATGATCGAAAGTTAAATCCTTTACGTGGATGAAGTCTAGACGTTAGAGATAGCGTCAACTATAGTACTATATTTTATTGTAATGATCTGCCGTCAAGGTTGATTCAATAACTTGTACATATTTCATATCAAAATAATTTTATTCGTGATCGTGTAAACGACTTCGTCGTAACAGCGAGATGCTATTATCTTTTTTGCTATTTTTTTTCTATGATTCGATATAAATTACATTCATTTTACAAATGTACTTGGCCTCGCTTACAAAAACAGTTTGATAGTTCTAAAAAACCCACGGGAAATGCTAAGTTCCATTCATATTGGGGACATGAGAGGAGGAAACTAAACTGTCAGGGCATTGTTGTTAGTTTTTCTTATAAAGTCATCACTAGTGGGTTTGCTCCAGGGATGGGGCACGTACGTGATATGCGAAAAACATTTCCAGCTTAAAAAAAGCTTCACCCTTTCAAAGGTCGATTTAATGAAACAAACAACGTATCATGTTAAAATTGTACATTTTGAAAACTAAAGAAATCTATATTGTGTTAGTCTTATAGTGTGTCGAAATAAGATAGATTAGTTTGATTTATTTGAAATTTAATAGGGATGGTTGTATAAAATCAGTCATGAATCTTATCGATTTTCGATTTTTATTATAGAAGTTGGAATCGATAGATTCATAGTTATACGAGAATAAATAAATGTCTATTACTACTACAGCAGTACGTAATCGAATTGGATTTCGCTATTATTTCTGTCATCGCTAAATTCTTTACACTATAATCAATACTAGAACTGTCCTCTAAATTAGTTAATAATAAAATAATAATTTTAGTTGAGTTTAATAAATATTTAAACCTAACATCGATAGTTCATAATTGTTCGCTGCGTGTTTGTTTCGTCACTACGATACAACATTTACCTTCATACAAATTGAATTCGATACTTCATATGCGTCATTTACTAATCTATCTTATTTAGACAAACTATGGTAAACTTGAATTAGCGAAGCTCCGACAAGATATGACCCATGTCTATTAAGATTGCAGAAAATATAAAAACCACACATCTGAAGGTCCTTTATATGAAGTCGATGAAACGAGGCTGTGTTGTAGCTGTCGCGTTACACGTTGAATAGCCGTTGCTGTGCTCATATTCAAGTGTCGTTCGCGGGGTTGTCAACATGTGGATTATTGTGTTGTCTTTCGTTTTAATATTCAACATCTGCGATGGAATTATTTATCATTTGAACGGTTAGTAAAATATCTCACGTTTTTAAAAGCTGTTTGAGTTACATTATGCGAATTATTAATAAAAAATCGAGAAGCAGCGGATTTGATACTGCGAAAGGCATTGGCAAGGTCCTATGTTAGCAATGGTTACAAGCTGATGTAATTAAGGGTGCTGTTTTGTTTAAGACTCGGAGCACCAGCGTATGCCGGACCTCTTCGACTTGGACCGTTATGATTCCTGTCTGGCGAACTATGGAGGTTTATATTGTGTCATGAGAGTTGATTTATTTTCAGATGCGAACAACAAACTCATGAACCAAATTAAAGTTAGTTTTTATCTTTTCTCTTATTACTTCTTGTGTCACTCAGTTCTTAGTTACGATGCAGTATTTTATTGCATGTTTTGTGCAATATAATTTTGGGACCGATAGTCTTTTTTTTCATATTAAAAGTCTATAATTTTTTTATTAAAATTTCTTACTGCAACAGTTTAGATTAAAAAATAAAATAAATTAAGACATCTTTTTTCAGGAATATTCAGCGTATACATCTAAACATTATGACTACACGTACATAAACAGAGGTGTGTGCGTCACACACACATGCAAAGATTTCATTAAAAACAGAGATTTAGAAAAATATGATAAACGACATGAAGTGATCGAGGAATGTATGAATGCAACTTTGTTTAGACAATATGGATTACAAGCTAACGTTACTCAGATATATAACTGTGATAAGTATGGTGAAAACACACAAATTGATGCCACAGACTGGATAGTGGCTGGAGTGATAGCCGCTTTACTCCTGTTAGTGATTTTATTCACATTGTATGATATTTCACAGATTAAAAATATAAATAACCAAGGTAAATCGATTATTATCCTTGCAAATGATCGTACAAATCGATTAAAATCGAATTGTATTTTATAAATGTTTCAGAAAGTTTGTTGATGAATTTTTCATTGCGCAAAAATTGGAATGATTTAGTGAATACGGAAAATTCAGATCCGAGACGTAAACGACTGGAGGGGCTGCGCGGTGTCAGGTGAGGGGTGGAATAGGAGATTTTCCAATGTAAATCTCATGGTCGTGTACCGTATCTTACCATACTAGAGTTGGTATTGCCTACCCTGATATAAAAGCAGTATACAGTTGGTTTGTGCTTTATGTAAGTTCTTTTGGATTTGGATATCCCCTTTTTCACGCCATTTGTATTGGCCTGTGCAGCTCTTATCTACAACTAGCTGTTCTCGTGCGGCTTCATCCGCATGAATTTATGAAAATTTTATTTTATTGCTTACATTTGTCCAATTATCAATAGCTAATGTCAAAACGACATAACATGACAAGCCTTCGCAATCTTGCTTTCTTGATGTTGGCAGACTTGTGGTCTCTTTTCCACATTACGGTTTTTATCCAAAATATTTACCCTCTAAGTTTAATGCCGTGGAAATATAAAGTCTAAAGTGTGACGTAAGTGTAGGGCTTTTTATTAAAAAAATAATTATTCAAAAATGTGCTGTAATTGCTGACATCTTAGGCAACAAAGAAGTGTGTTCTTTAGGCTTTATTATAATAGTATAGAGATGTCTGCAACTCTTTCCCGGAAACCATTGTGGCGCCGCATTTGATCATTTATGCTTATAAAAGATAACTAGCTATCTGTTTTAGGGCGATTACGAATTGCCTCATGATATTGGCCCACGTGTTCTTCATCAATATGACGGGTTTTATCGACTCCCCTCATGCAGTTGAAAAGGTACTAATCGATTTGATTATTTATTCTAAATAACCATTAAATAGACGGTTACGAAGAACTAAAGACGAGTTTGTTAAATGTTGTTACATCTGTTTACATAATATTTCAATTTCTTTTTTTTATAATATAAGGTGGCAAACGAGCAAGCGGCCACCTGAATCCACCGAAATGGAAATCAACCGCTGCCCATATACATTCACAATTGCAGATGCGTTACTTACCCTAGATTGACGTAGGAGGAGACGCACATAAGAAATTTCCCCTTTCTATGCGTCTCCTCCACCGTCAAATCCACTTTTCCTTCCTTTCCTCTTAAGAAAAGGATGGAAAGGGACGAGGAATAAAAATAGGCCTTATTTTATTAAATTCCACTTGGAACTTGTCTTACTTAGATCATGCGCACACCTGAAACTAAACTATCGCACAACTGATTAGTGTCGCTTTGATTTCTAAGAGCTTTCTTGGAGCTGCGTACGCTACTAGATTGTTTAGTAGTGCAACTAAACAATCGACAATCGCACAACAGTTGTGCGATAGTTTACTCAAAGATGTGCTGTGTGGTGTGTGTGTGAGTGTGCTATTAGGTGTATTGACATGACATCATTACAAATGCCGGTTTTATCTAGTAATTTTGTATCTTTTCATTTTCAGACATACGAATCATTTCAGTATTATCTGGTATATAACGGGCTGCTGATAGTCCAGATATTCTTCTTTATGTCAGCTTTCCTGCAGTCTTACTTGATGCATCTACGTTCAGAAGTAGCGCCCTTCCAGTGGTCCGAGATGCCCATGATACTGTTTGCGAGGTGGTGGAGGTACGTTTAGAAACAAAACTACTAAAATAACTACACACAATTCTTTTAACAATCTTTAGTCTGTGCTAACAGTCTTATTGCAACTGTGCCTCTTTCAATTGTAAAAAAATAATGTCGGATGGTATCTTCTTTAATATTTCTATTTTGTTTGTCTCTAGTGGGTTTCATTGGTAATATTCTCTGTATTCAGTACCACTTTCCAGGCTAAGTCCGTCGTATGCAGTTCTGCTGGCGTTCTCAGCGACGTGGCTGAGACACTTGGGGTCGGGGCCGCTGTGGAGGCTGTATGTGAGCGACTCCCTGGTGGCGCAGTGCCGTCGCTACTGGCCCCAACACCTGCTCTACATCAACAACTATGTCGCTGGTGACACCGACTGTCAAGTGCAAACATGGTAAGACTTGGATACATTGGACTATGCTTCTATCAAGCAAAAGGTTTGTAGAGGTTCTAGAAATAACCTTACTGAGAAATGTGATGAGATACCTAGAAAGAGATAGACTGCGTGAAAGGTGACACAGTCATTTGGAGTCATTTGGAGGATGAAAACCCGGTGCGTCGACCCTACTGGGGAAGGATAAGGCAGGGGAGATGATGAGAAATGAAGTGAGATAGGCCCATACTTCTTATCTTTTCAGCTGCACATATTGAAATCGCACGAGAGATTGTTTAATACGTTTATTATTTTGTTGGATTTGTTTTATCATAAACACAGCAAACTGCTGAATTTACTAATATGTGATGATTGATTGACCTTTCCTCTTATATCAATAAATTTCTCTAGGCCCTCAGGATTCATTCAGGATCGAAGTTTTAATAACATTAGTTGATTAGTAGTTCTATGACGTATCGTTGTAGGCACATAGCCGTGGACATGCAACTGTTCGTGGTGACGATGTTGGCATACATGTGTACGGGTGGGCGGGGGCGCGGCTGGCGCGGCGCGCTGGCCCTGCTGCTGCTGGCGGGGCTGCTGGGGCCGCCGCTGCACGTCTGGCTGCAGGACATGGAGGCAATAGCTATGGCCACACCGCAGTAAGTCTATATTGTAATAAATCGTCGATGAAGTTCTAACAGCACGGCTGTCAAATATAACAACTTTTAAAGAGAGACAAAACTGCATTATTTTGTAAAAATGCTATACTAGTACACTGTTTTTGTATACTTAATGATAGTTGTAGTGAAACGATGCGTCTTCCGGTTCTCTAGCGAATGCCATCAAAGTTTCAAAATAGTCAAAATGTACTTTCGCGGTGTTAGAGCTTCAACGACGAAACTGTAAGGTACGATTCCTAATTTGTAGGTTTTTCCGTCGACTGGCGAACACTCCCACATTCCGTTCGTTGCACATACTGTTTTACAATAACCTCACCTGCTACGTCGGCGGCCTCGCCACCGGCACTCTCGTCTACCGGCTGCAGAAGGACAACGTAGACCTGTCTAAATATAAGTTAAGTAGTAACTTAACATATTATTTCTATCACTGTTTCATTTTTAGAATTGACAGTATGAAAGACGAAAGTAAATATTAGATTTTTGACAGTCGACATATCTTGTGTTGCGACGATACAAGTAAAACAATTTATATTACGGTATCAGAAGTGGGGGGTGCTGAGCTGGCTGCTGGTGCCGGGCATTGCGTGCTTGTTCCTGACGGGGCGAGGTTTCTACGAGGCGGGGGCGGGGCTGGAGTCGGGGGGCGTGTCTGGGGGCGTGTCCGGGGGCGTGGCGGCGCGCGCGCTGTACGCAGGCGGGCACCGCCTCGCCATGGCCGTGCTCGTCGCACTCATTGTTATTACCCTCACTATGAGTCTCTGTGGTAAATCTATAAATCTTAACAATACTGGATTTAAAAAAAGTTACTTTTAATACAGTTATAAGAATTCTTCATCATCATCTCCCCGTCATTTCCAACTCTTGCTCAAGGTTTCGTTCCCCAGGTTAATATTCCGTGATTTGTCATTCTTTCGTGATCATGTCATCTTTGACGCCATCCATCCATTTAGAGGCCTATTTCGGAATTATCTGTAGACTAGCTGTAGCTCGCGACTCCGTCCGCGCGAATTAAAAAAAATAGCCTATGTGATAGAATTTCTTAATTTGGCCCAGTAGTTTTTGAGTAACATCAATACATATACAAATAAAATCTTTCCTCTTTATAATTTTACTAATATTATAAATGCGAAAGTTTATATGGATGAATTTTTGTTAGAGTTTGTAGTCTAATTTGGTATAGATGTAGATTATAGTCTGGAAGAACAATTAGGCTACGCTTTTTTTTTTAATTCCACGTGGACGGAGTCGCGGGCGAAAGCTAGTGTTAGTATAATACAGTAGAACCTCGATAAGTTAAAGTCCAAGGGAAACACAAAATACTTTTAGTTATAGAGGATTTAAGTTATCAAGGGTCTATGTTATGGAGTTTCTTGGCTCTGATGGGAAGGGAACATATTATTTTTTTAAGTTATCGAGGATCTACTGTGTATGTTTCTAGATAGTTTTTGTGGGTTGTTATCGTGGCGCGGCTGGGCGGTGCCGAGCCGGCTGTCGTACAGCGTGTATTTGGTACACATGAACCTGGTGCACGCGGCGCTCGGCCTGCGCACGCAGCTCGCCACCGTCTCACCATTCAATATGGTGCGTTTAAATACATACACAAATATAAACAGAAGTATATTAATAAATATTAAAGATTCAATAAATATATCTATAGTGTAAGCGTGGATACTTTACTTGAGACAATATTCATATATTCACTAACGCTTGACAGTTTCGACACCACATGTCAATTTATTTGTGAATAGGTTTTATATTTCAATGTTTATACATTTAGTAACACTTTTTAATTTATCTTATAACTGAAGATGAAGCTTGTAATTTTGTAAAATATCTTGTAAATATCTGAATATCATAATCGTAGAATTAATACAAGAATACGAGGTCGCACTAAACTTGACAACTGATTTATTACCTGTCAGAGAAATTACCGGTGAAAGTAAGTGCCTTGTCTATTTCTATTTCTATATAAATGTTTGTGTAAAATACCAACTTTTCAGTATGCTTTCGTACGAATCAACCCTTCATTATAAATTTATGTTACTTTCCATTTATTTTGAAGACTAAGGGCCTGTCCTACCGCTGGCTGATAGAGGCTCGGATAGCTTAAAAATGACGTCACTGTCAGATGCAGGAATGAAATCCGATATTTCCATTACATATTTAGACTTGGATTATTATCAGGCAAATTACAATAATGGGACAGACCCTTAGTAAAGCAGTTAAATTTCTTGGTGACATTTTCCAGCTGGTGACGTACTTCGGTATAGTGGTGATGTCGGTGCTGGTAGCTCTGCCGTTTTACCTGGTGGTGGAGGCTCCGCTGGCCAGCCTCCTGTTGTCTCTCTTTAGGGGTAGACAGCAATTAGAAAAGCAACACATCAATGGCAAGAAAACTACGTAGGATCTGTGATGACGCAACGAAAGTTAGAAAGTTGTACTCTGAGCCGTTCCTTAGTTAATAAGAGACACTAAAGTTAAAGTGTAGATTATTCATTGTGAATCTATTTTCTTTTGGTATTTATGTTTACACTAATGATTACTTATAGATTGAATTAAACATCGACTTAATGTGACAGTTTGTAGTATTTTTTTAAATAATAATTTATTAAGTTTTAAGGAAGTAAAAAGTTATTATGTACTACTAAAATTATGTTTTATAGTTGATAAGAGAATACATAATACAAACTAAATGATTTTTTTTCTTTTAATTCACCCGTAGATTAAGAAAATCAAAATAGTCGTTGTTAATATAGGCATAGATCAAGCGGAGGAAGGCGTAGACGGCATGTCGGTACACCTAAAACCCGGGCAGGGAGAGGCCTTTCACCTCGGAGTTATATCCAAAATATTAACACAAATATTAAGAAAGAAATTAAAAACATAAATATAAATGTTGGAAATACCTCTGAACAAGTATTATCAACCTTTAGAACAATTTCCATTGGCAAAACAATGAAAAGGTAAAAAAAAGCAAAATATCTATAAAAAAAAAAACAGATAAATCGTTTTTGTACAGGTGCTTAAGATGTGAAAATGCACCGTAATCGTAAATTATTTGTTTAAAGTTCACCTTTATCTTAGTAAAGTTTGCGAATTGAGGCGGACAATATCCGGTAACAACCGCGAGTGCAATTAAATAGGTTTAGTAAAGTTTTATCTGCTATCCGCCTCACGGAGCTTCAGAATTAATCTCGGAGTGGCAAGAGTAAAACACGATTATCTTGCAAACTTTCAGTGTATTGTTAAAGTGGGAATACTTTGAGAGAAAATGTGCATAAAATAAACGTAAGTAGCTAAGGTTGTAGATGGCTTTAGATAAAAAAAATATAGACGACGGCGTAGTACGAGGTGTCCTTGATAAATACTAAGATAAGGTTGTTTGCCACGTTCCGTATCACCTGTAAATATCGCAGTCTTCGCGGAACGATTTCCAATTAAGTAATAAAAAAAAGTAGTGCGTACAAAATAATAGTGAATTAAAAAAGTGTTATGGCGGAGGAATGTGAGAGACGACTTCGGATTACTATAAACAACATCGCTAAGGAACTTGGATATGATAATCATGAAATTAGTGTACAAGAGTTTCACACAGGCGGTGCTAACTACACCTCACGTCTCTACCACATTAGACTATCAGCTCCTAAATATGAAGACCTGAAACTCTTCGCGAAAGTTGCGGCTACAGCGGAAGAAGTAAGAAAGATTTATCCATTACAAATCTTTGACACTGAAATCTTCATGTATTCTAATATGCTTAAACGATATAGAGAAATAGAGGAGGAGCACAAAATAGAGGAACAGTACAAGCTAACTACGAGCAAGTTTTACGGCTTCAGCAAAGAATACCTATACGAGACGCTGGTGATGGAGGATATGGCTGCAAAAGGATTCAAAACGCATGACAGGTTCAAAAGTATAGACTGGGAGTATGCCACGCAAGCGGTGTTTGAGATGGCAAAGTTCCACGCATTATCAATGGCGTTAAGGCATCATAACCCTGAGGAGTTTGACGAATTAATGCGGAGCAATGGTTTGATATTTGAAATGCATCATTTTAAACTATTCTTTGATGTCGTTCATAAGTCTGCTATTTCGGTGGTAAAAGAAAAGTATCGGCAGCGGCTAATGGACTTTATTAACAAACAAGATTTCCAGTTGTTCAACAGGCCAATAAGATATCCTGTACTCACGCACGGGGATTACAGACCAAGTAACCTGATGTATAAAGTGTATGAGGTAGGGATATTTTCGTTCTATCTGCTTTTGCTCACATAGACAAATGGATAAAGACTACAAAATAGTTTTAACATATTGATTGTGTTCATAAGATTCAAGTACATCTTCCTTATTCCTTACAGAATGGCAAATTGGATATCGTGCCTCTGGACTATCAAGGATGTCAGTCTTCCAATCCACTAAGAGATTTGATGTATTTTATATTTTCTGGATCCGACGCAGCCTTCCGCGCTCGCTACTATCGTCAACTTCTCGAATTCTATTATTCTGAACTATGTAAAGCCTTACGAAGGTTACACGTGGATCCTGAAGAAGTGTACTCTAAAGAAGATTATGAGTACGAATTAGAATTGGTAAGGCGATAAAAAGTTAACGTCATTGTCTATCGAGATTTGTTGTTTTGACCTTGGTTGACCTTGGTGCCGAACTTTTTATAATTTTGAGAGTTAAAGGTTGAAGGAGGAGGGAGGAGCCGGATGGGAAAAGTGATGGTGATTACATTAAATTTAATTTAATTATTGTTACAGATGCAACCGTATGGGCTAATAATGGGAGTAATGTTAATTCCTGTAATAACAGTGCACGAAGAGAACGCGCCGGATATGACCGCTAGTAAGTTTGAAGATTTTGCTGTGAAGCCAAACGAAGTGGGTGCACAAAGATTGAATGAAGTTGTTGAGGATTTCATTAAAATGGGAATATTGTAATTTATTCCAATTAAATTTGTAGTTTTTTTTTCACATGATACACATTAGTTAAGAAATAATTAAGTGGAGTATTAAAAGATTGTTATATTTTGATACAATGAAAGTCATTTTAGTCAGTTAAAATTCGTCTTTAAAGACTAGTTTCAGTTATGTATTTCCATCTAAGATTTAACAAATTAGTGCATTTTTAAGAAAACAAAGGTCATTCAGAGGACGCCGAGTTTCACAAAATCGTCGATAAGGTCGTTGAGTCTTTGAGAGCCTGTCTCACAGGGATCTATCTCGAACATGTTAGCATCTTCAGTGTTCTCTATATTCCGAGCGTTTTCCACAAAAACCGACATAGTAGGTAATATGAGAGTACCAATTATAACACCGTATGGTTCAAACTGAAAACAAAAAAAAGGTTAATGATGACTTAACAGTCTACAAGAAACTGTACTGAAGACTTTTTTGTTCTCTACATAATGACAAAGCCACATAGATAGCTTCTTAAGAGGTCCATGCAAGTTTAGTTCTAAAATCATAAAAATGCATATCTCCGCTTAAAGTAACCATATCCAGTAGGTATGTGCCATTCTAAGGTACTCTAAACTCAGAAACATTCTTCGTAAGATCCTTTTCTCCATGTAATAACTAACTTTTCTTATCTCCAATGGCTATTATTAAAAAAAAAATCGTACCAATTTTACATCGTGCTGAAAGTCATCCTTTGTGTACACAGTTTCAGGATCCACTTGTAATCTTTTCAGACTACTGCTTAGTTCAGAGTAATAAAGGTCTAGAAGTTGATGATAATGTTTTGAACGAAATTCTTTGTCAGTTGATATAACTACAAAGTACATTAAATCCATCAAGGGGCTAGATATCTGGAATCCTTGATAGTCCAGTAGAAAGAGCTCTAGTTCACCATCCTGGAAAAAAACAAAAACTTTTTTATTCCTTCGAGTATATACTCCACTTGTCTACAGGAGTTCATCTACATTCTATTTATCATTATATTTCTATATGAAATAATGCGTTATGAATTTATTTTTTATCTGTTAGTTACGTATGTTCTATTTATTTTTTGACCGACTTCCCAAAAGAAGGAGGTATTCAATTCGTCGGTATATTTTTTATTTTTTTATTTTTTTTTTATGTGTGTTACGGCATAACTCCGCCGCTAGTGGACCGATTTAGATAATTCTTTTTTTATCCGAAAGGTAATGC